AAAATAATTTCTCCCATAAAAGGTAATACTTTCATACTGCTAAAATGACAGCGATTTTTTGTTATTGTTTGTTGTAGAATATCCAGGAACCAAGGGCTAGGGTGTCGTTCAGTGGTAGAGCACTTACCTATGTGCAAAACCCTGAGGTTTTTTTAAAACATTTTTTAACATTTTTATTTATTAAGTATATAGTGTTCTGTCTGCATATATGACTACTCGCCAGAAGGGGGCACTAGATCTCATTACAGATGGTTGTGAGCCACCATGTGGTTGCTGGGAATTGAACTCAGGACCTCAGGAAGAGCAGTCAGTGCTCTTAACCTCTGAGCCATCTCTCCAGCCCCAAAGCCCCGAATTTTAAGTATAGCACTTAAAACAACAAACACCTCCAAGGATCAAAGAAAGATATACAGGTAATAATTTAGCATCATTTTAGTATTTTTACTGTGAAATTATTTTCCTTTCAATTACTAAAATCTAGAAAATAGTGAAATTCTTCCTGAGGGATAAATTGCAGAGAACGTATTTAAATAACAAATAAAAGCCAGGCAGTGGTGGCGCACACCTTTAATCCCAGCACTCGGGAGGCAGAGGCAGACGGATCTCTGTGAGTTCGAGACCAGCCTGGTCTACAGAGGTAGTTCCAGGACAGGCTCCAAAGCCACAGAGAAACCCAGTCTCGAAAAACCAAAAAAATAAAAAATAAATAAAATAAAATAAAAATAAATAACAAATAAACTCACTAAATTATACTTAAAGCCTGCCCCCAAAATAGGGTAATTACTAAAAGAAAGTTTATGTGGTCTTTAAGTTCATACTTTTAAAAATCATAAAAGTTGCAAGTGGGCCAAAGTGCTGACAACCTGAGTCCACTCCCTGGAGCCCACATAACAGGGGAAGGTGAAAACCAACTCCACAAAGTTGCCCTCTGCTCTGCAGAGCCATGCCCTGGCACACTGGTATGTGCACACACACACAAAATGGAAACAATAAAAATTATAAAAGTTATTGATGGCACAAAATCATATGCCTAGTGGATTCAAAGAATACACCTTTGTTTAGAGGTTGTGCATTTTGGGGGGAGGGGTTGTTGTTTGTTTGAGACAGGGTCTTACTGTGTAACCCCAGCTAGCTGGAACTTTCGATCTTCAAACTTTAGGCTTTTAACCTTTGACACACTAGACAGAATGGAATGTCCTATACAGTGTTCTTTGGAAAGTAAGACATCAACATATGAAAGATTTCTTAGATCTTCACTTCACACATCCCACAAAATAGAGTCGTGACAAATTATAACACAACAGAAGCAGACAAACTAGATTCAAAAGATCAGCCATATAAGGGAAGATACCCTCTGGGTTCTGAAAAACAGAAGGTAATATAGGGGAAAACACGGTTTATCATTTTTCAAAAGGAAATTTCTAAGTCAAATACTGCTAAGAAGTACCAGATGGAAATTTTGTCTGGCATAATTAACACACCCACAGAGGGTGGGTTATGGAGAAACATATAACTGCACGAGCATTAAGTGCAAGTAAATTGTATAATTATTCTTGAGAAAAGATCTCACTATATTGCCAAGACTGACTTCAAATTCCTGGGTTCAAGCAACCCTTGTGCCTTTTCCCCAAGTATATGGGAATACAAGCACGAGTCATTGCCTAGCAGGAAATTAATATCCATTGCTTTCAGAACTTGACAACTGAAGGAAGTGACAGGATTTGAAGAGGGTAGAACTTTCGCTCCCCAAGTCATCATCAGTGTGACCTGGTGAGCAAAATACTTGTTAGACAAAGAAGATAAATCCCAGCAAAAAGCACTGCCTGGACATATGACTCCTATCAACACTATCAAATGTACCCCCCCCCCCCCCACACACACACCCAGACAGGGTTTCTCTGGAGCTTTGGAGCCTGTCCTGGAACTTGCTCTCTAGACCAGACTGGCCTTGAACTCACAGAGCCGCCTGCCTCTGCGGCCCAGGTGCTGGGATTAAAGGCGTGCGCCACCACCGCTCGGCATGAAATAATATTCTTACAGCTGATGACTAGACTTACTGTAGACAGTAATGTGAATTGACAACATGAAAATGGCCAAATTGGTGCGCTCAGGGAAGTTTGCTAGACAAGTCTTTGTGAGCCTACTGCCAAGTCTACAAAACACGTGTGTTTATATATGCCCCCACACATGAAGACATCTGCAAATACTATGTTAGCAGTTTGCTTTTATTTGCTTGAAGCCACCTTTGGCAGTCTTATCACCAGTAATTTTAAGGAGTTTAAACTAAGAGGCCCACATTTTATTTAAATGATACCTTAAAAACCTAAACTTGAATTTTAAAATCTTTTACTATGGAGGCTGCATCTACAGAGTGAGCAGCAGGTACAGTGGGGGCATACATATTCGGGCTAAAAATGCTGTTCTCAAAATCGTGACTTTGACCTGAGAGACAACTGTGTTATATGATCATTGACGTAAGAGATTTTGTTTCCCTGTGGCCTCTGGAGACAGGAAGGACTACCTCCTCAGCATCTTGTGATTAGACTCTCGGGTATGAGTTACAAAACAGGCAACCTTGATGATGTATGGAACAGAGTCCTATCTTCACAGAAACAACAGACTTCTGAGCAATCTCGGGTATAGAGTGCATTCTCTGAGAAACAGGCTTAAACTCAGAGTGGCTTCAATGAACTCCATTGAACTTCTGAGGCCTTTGAACTCAGTCAAACCAAGAGGCTTACCTTACTGCTAAGATTGCATTTCTAAAGATAAGCTGTATCTCTTGCAAATTATTGACATACTACATAGCTTTAGTTTTCCCAACCCTTAGCAACAGCTGGACTGGGATTGGATTGTTTCTTCGGATAATTTAGGGCTCCTTGCAAAGGTTATGACTAAACCAAAGTGGCTTGAATATTTGTTTTACGTAACTAACTAAACAACTAGACCCTGAGAAATTACAGCTCACCGAATTCCAGTGGCTTTATTTCATACCCCTCTCTGATTTTGAGCTTTATTCTTTTTTAAAAAAATATATTTTGTATATATGAGCATTCTACTTGCACGTTTGCCTGGGTGACAGAAGAGGGCATCGGATCCCATTATAGATGAGCTACCATGTGATGGCTAGGAACTGAACTCAGGACCTCTGGAAGAGTAGCCAGTGCTCTTAAACTGCTGAGCCATCTCTCCAGCCGCCAGCTTTATTCTTATATATGTGTGAGATGACTGCTATCTTCAGGACTCATCTCTAGATATAACATATACTAAGAGAAACACTTTCAGAAGGGCTTCCAGAAGTAGAAGCAAACTTTCTGGCATCTCAAATGATACAAGTTCCTCCTTGATAAGGCCCATCCTGAATCTATGGCTGAAGATGGCCTTCTCTAAGCACTGATGCTTCCTGAAAGGATTGAGAGTTTTGTTCTAGTAAAGGCTCAAGATAACACAGGAATGAACTTTATTTACTTTCATATCAGAAAGCAATTTAAAATGGTTTTAAAAATGCATAAAATATGACAAAAATACAAATGAAAAGGAGAGAAAAGATTTAAGCAAGTGACAAGCCATCTGTGCAAAATTCACTTGCTTCATCTACATAAATGCTGCAAATTTGACTGCTGTTCTCATCAGCCAATGAAGCGAGGGCAACTTAGTAATTCAGTCAAGCTTTGTTTGGTTCCAAGTCACAGAGATCCATATCAAACTGGAGTTATTTTAAGTTCTCAATCTAATAGAAAAGTTGATGAAAGGATCTAGCTTTAGCTAGGTAGAGGCTCGGACAATGTGAACAATGCCTTCACAACTTGTTTCTTCCAGTTTTACTCTCTGCGCTTTCTTATTAATTTATGACTATGAGACAAGGAAAAAAAACCACAACTGATGAGCTTTTAGAGGAAACTTAACTACAGCTGTTCAGCTAACATGACATGGCACCAGACTGTTTATACCCTTAGACCACTACTATGCCAGGCAGGCCTTAACTAGAGAGGTTTCTCTTTGCAGTGAACTGCACTAATGCAGACTCAGGGCTGCTCAAGGCACTGGGCATTAAGTGATGGCTGAGAACTCAGTCCTAAACAGGAAATTTATACCATCAAGGGAGAGAAAGCGGAAAGAGTGTAAGATCTGGAGAGAGGGAGAAGGCTTGTAAAATGGTACCTTCTGGGCATCACAGTTACTACAGTCATCTCACAGCAACTGGAGTTGCTTCTACCAGGCCTTCACAAAACTGGGCCTGTCACTAGTCAGTCACGGCCGGAGGAAGCATTCATAGGACCATACTTCTTCTGGTGAACAACTGGGTGGAGTCTGGGGGCAAGGCAGTTATTCTCTTCAGTTACACATCCACAAGTTGAGCTCACCAGGCCCCAATGGATAGTGTGAAACCTATGGTCACACAGATATTCTTGGTTAAAAATCAATGAGTCACAAGACAAAACAAAGCAAGAACGTAAGATCTACAAAGAGGCGGGGGCTAAACAAATGTGGGAAGGAAATGAGAGGGAAGTAGCCAGATGTGTTATATACACATATGAAGTTGTCAAAGAAAACAGGTTATATATAAATGTGAAAAATTATAGAACACACACAAAGGCAGATGAGCACTGGGTGCATAGCTCAGAGACAGAGTGCTTGCCTGCATCAAGGAGGTTCTAGGTTCAACTATCTGTGATGTTATCCAAGGTTATATTGAATGATTCCGAGGGGAAGGAAGGGATGAATATTCTTAGTGTTTTGTAATTCAGATACAAATTAGAGAATGAGAAACCGATTTTGCTTTCACTGGTGTTTTCATGTATTATCCATTCCTTTACTCTAATTCAGGCAGATACTATTACTTTTTGGTGTTGTAGGTATGAAATGTTCTAGACCAATTTAAGAAAAAAATCCTCACATCTTTTAAAAATTTCAACTTTATTGTAATATACAACTCAATCACTTTGTGAGAAAATTATTTTAATCTACTCAGAGTTATACAATAACCATCTCCTAAAATAAAATAAAAACCCCAAAGAAAAAAAAGAAACCTCATATCCAATTCAGAGCTCCTTGTTTCCGGAACCAGCCAACCCTGAGGAACAAGTGGCACTCTTATCATTTTCCCTTGCTTGTCAAGGCCTCCTGCACCAGTTCCAGGATTGAAGCAGACAGGCGAGGACCAGAAGAAAAGGTACAAAGATCATTTTACTAAGCTGGAGAGCATCACATTTTTTGTTTCCAGGATGTGGTACTTTGAAGGGCTAAAACTGAAAAAAAAAAAACAATAACAACAACAAAAAAAACCTCTAAAATGAGATAGTTGTCCTCATATGAGCTGATGCTAATACTTCGTTAGTGTTTATATTTGTATAAAATAACGAAATGCATAATTCAGCTTTGTTTGGCCAATGGTCATCCTCTACACACTTTACTACAGTTGCCTTCCAGGAATCTAGCCTTCAGACCCTGCCTTCAGAAGGTCTTCCTTAGTTCAATGCAGGTATTTGCCAATATGTGCAAAAAAGCATTTCCTTCCACAATCTTCCACTATTTGTAACTTATGTCTGGTTGATGAGTTATGGTGGTTTAGAACTAAATAGTGGAATGTAAGGTCAGGTTCCCATTCTAATAACTAGAGATAATCTGTAAATCAACATTTTAGTACCGTGTAGAAAATTAAGCTACCAAACAACATTTTACCTAAAGATTTGAACAAAACTCATCCTTAACTCTTATTTCAGTACGAGCTGCAAAATGATTATCCTCTAAAGGATAAATAATATGACCATGAATATCCGTGTGTCAAGTTTTTGCAGACACTCATGTACTTTTAGTTCTTTGGGTATATAATTGCTGAGTCATACTGTATCTCTGTGTTTAACGCTCTAATGAATTCCCAGACTGTTCTACAAAAACAGTTGCATCATTTTACACTCCCATCATCAGTATATGAAGGTTCTAGTTGCTCCACACATTTCCCAGCACTTGGAGTGTGGTCATCCTTGTGCATATAAAAGGGGAATTTATTGTGATTTTGATTTGCAGTTCCCTAGTGACTAAAAAAGATGGCAACCATTTGTAACTTTCATTTAGAAATTTCTATTTAAATCATTTGCTATTTAGATTGTTTTTCATGATTGAGTTTTAAATGTTTTTTATATATTCTAGCTACTATGCACTATCAAATATGATTGTAAAGATTTTCTTCCATTCTATGTCAGTTGCCCTTCTAGTTTATTGATGTTATCCTTTAGAGCGTAAGTTTTTACTTTGGTAAAGTCCAATTTATTCCTATTTTATGTTTGCCACATGTACTCTGCCTCGTCTATTGTCACAGACTTACTACTGCTTTTTTCTAAAAGGTTGTGCTATTGGTCTTATATTTAGGGCTGGAATTTCTTTTACTTTTGTACATGGTATAAAGATCTAGCTCCAATCTTGTGCATGTGGATATCCAATTTTTCCAGTGTCATTTGTCAAGACTCTTTTAACCAAATAAATTTCCTAGAGAATTCTTAAAACTCTATTACATTACTTTTTTATTGCTGTGACAAAACATGATGACCAAGACAAGATGTATTTATTTATTTATTTACTGGTTTTTCAAGACAGGGTTTCTCTGTATAGCCCTGGCTATCCTGGAACTCACTCTATAGACCAGGCTGGCCTCAGACTCACAGAGAACTGCCTGCCTCTGCCTCCTGAGTGATGGAATTAAAGGCGTGCACCACACTGCCTGGCAACAAAAAGTATTTTAAAACAGGACTAAAATGTAGAACACCAAGGAAAGAACTACCTTATTTAATTATATTCATGTAGTGGAGTGTACAAAATGAGTGCTGGCTTCAGAACGCTATGCCTCCTGGAGAGAGGTTTGAAATAGACAGGTCCTGGAAAGCTAACACGGGAGGAAAAAATGAACAGTGAGTGCCTGGTGCTTTAATACATCATCCAGCCAAAAACGATAGTTTAGTTTTTAATGCCTTGTTTAGGAATGAGGGATTTAAGGTTCAAAATATTAGCTTTCTTCTGACTAAACTATAAGATACGGTATGATCCCTGGTACGTCTCATTTGCCCAGGATTGTCCTTTGTGCAACACCCACGAACCAAAGCATCTTAAAGATGACAACTCGATTTGGGGTTAGGAGACCAATGTCCAGGTCTTATAAACAAGCTGAATTTGTTATTAAATCTCAAGGAATTCACATGGCCTCTTAGATCCTTTGTTAATTTGTTTAAATAAACAGAGACGACAGAACAGTTCTTATCTCTGGAAGGTTCGACAGTCCACGCACAGGAGAGGGTCAGCCTAAAACACTACATTGCATTTCTTTGCAAGTTTATATGGTACCACGTCTAGAAATTTGGTTTTGTCTTTTTGTATTTTATGTGTAAGAGTGTTTTCCCTGAATGTAAGTCTGTGTGCCACATGCATGCCTGGTGTCTGAGGAGGCCACAGGAAGGCCTGGGAACTCCCAGACCTCTAGTTACAGGTGACTGTGAGCCATCAGTGGTGCTGGGGATTGAATCTGGGTCTTCTGGAAGAGGAGTCAGTGCTCTAAATTGTTGTTACCTCTCCAGCCCTGCTATTTGTTCTTTTGAGATAAGGTCTCAGTTTGTAGCCTGGGTTAATTTCAAACTCACGGCAATCCTCCTATCTCAGTCTCCTAAGTGCTGGGATTATCGGCTAACTCCAGGAACGTTTAAATTGTGCTTTCGAGGTCTGTGAATTTAACAAAATCCCCAGAACCAAGTTATTCTATCTGCATTGCCCGCAACCCTGAACCACAAATCTGCAAACTTCTTTGCAACTGATCCTGTAATGGCAGAACTTTCATCTCGCCTTTATTGTTTACCATATCCCTGCATTATCTTTAAAGTGATAAGACTTTGGACCTTGACTGGTTCATCCCTCTTTAGGCACCCAGGGGTCGCCTGATCGCTAGAGGTCACCACATAGTGCAGATAACTGAGTGGTAAAGTACACTACAGCCCAGAACTCTGGAACTCAAGCCATCCCCCTGCTTCAGCCTCTCTAGCAGTTGAAATTATAGGCACACACCACTGTACCTGGTTCCAGTACAACACTTACTGCCAAATTACCACTATGTTGGATGTACTTTCTTTTTGAGCTCTGGTTTGCCTTTAACTGTGGTCATCACTCTGTCATCCAACACCTTGAGCCCCTTCAGATAGAAATACAGATTTTTGGCTCCTGTGTTGTTATCAGCACCGATTTTCATTGTGGCTACTGGAAGACCCAAAGAAATAAAAAATTTCACATTGGAAGACACACCTTGCCTCAATTTGGATATCAGGATGTAGTTCAAAGAAAAAAGTCCAAGTCTGGGAATTTTTACACTATACCATTTTACTACAACCTTTACATCCTGTCCTGAGCAACAAATCCAACGAGTACATGATAGAAAGGAAAACTACAAGAAAACAATCTTCCTTCATAATAAACTACTGAAAATATTAAGTAAAAGAATATGAGACTATAACACAACAGAATGAGGATTTTTATTTTACAAATGAAAATACAAAAAAAGTGGACTAAACTGACTCTCCACCAAATCTGATTTCATACCTTAGAGTTGACCTTTGCCACTGTATCAGTGAATTCCCTGAGGAAGAAGCACAGGCTAAATTTAGCCACCATGACAGCAATGACTGGCAGAGAAAAGGATTGCATTGCTGTTCCAATTTCTTTTTCTTCTTGGAAACACACTCCATGGCCACGTGGAGAACTGACGGTTCCGCTCAGTCTTCACAGTGAGTCCACGTCTCTCAGAAGCTAAACTAGGCTGTCCCTTGCAATCGCATACAAAGTCCTTACTTTTGTCACATCTGTTACCTTTAGAGAATATTCTGAATGAGCAAGTGAAGCTCCCATTGCAACAGAGGAATTTCTGCAACAGAAACAACAAAGACCAGATAGATAACCGCATCTGTTGTGAAATACACCCCTCCTTAACTTTACAGACTCACCCATGGCTCGAGAACAGGGGAAGGTCAAGGATGCTGGACTACCATACTTGCAATTTTCATTAATTAATGACTTGAAAAATCTAGTAGCTAAATCTACCAGGCAGGAAATTGGATTTTCTATCTGAAAATGTACATGCTAAGGTCTTCCTTTTTTATGTTGAATCCCTGCTCACCCACCAGGAAATGAGATGACTCAATGAAGCTGTAGGAATCCTCTAGGGTATTGAAAAAAACATAGCAGTCTAAAGTCCTTAATGGTAATAAAATTTCAAAACAACTGCAAGTAAAGAGCAAAGGTAAATGGAGACTATTTACAGTCGGAGAGATAAAGTGGTCCTGAAGCTGCCCTGTACCAATTATTAACTTAGTAAAAGGGACACGTAGAGAACTAGTACACCTGAGTAGATGACTCATTGGATGCTTTACTGCTGAGTAAATTTATAAAGTTCTTACGCCCAGCAATGCTTGAATTAGGAAATCATTTCCACTGAACCAAGTCTCTCTTAGTAGGCCCGCAGACTAGATATAACCATAGAAATGGTGATGGCTAGCACGACTCAGCAAAGGCTATATGAAGGTTTACTTATATTCCCAAGTTACTGTTTATTTCTGGCAGAACAACAATCATTTTAGAAATATTTTTCACCTGAAAAACATAATACTTACTAATCACAGCAATTTATTATTTAATAATGACATTAACTAAGGTTTTCTTATTTAAGCAACCAAAGATTTCATCCTCTCCTGTATGTAAAGAATGTATTTGTACCGAAACTTCATTTCTGAGTCTCTAGAAGATCGAGCAGAACAGTGGAATTCTGTAGCACCTGAACCCTCAAGAATTCTCTGCAGATTTTTATCTGTTATACCGCCTCCTGTTACAAAGAAAAAGTAATACATTAAGTGGAACAGAATGTCACATCAAAGTTAAATACATATAAATCCCTACTTTACACAAAATATTCATTCTAAATATTTCCACTATTTCAAAAATTACTGTCTCTAAGCTAATATGGGGTCAGAAGACAAATAAATAAGATCTATGCTACAGACTCGGGAGAACTTGTAAGGACAGAGCTTATAAAGAAAACCCACTTATCCCTTGGCTTATGTCACAATGCTATGCATTACTGAGTTTGGATTTTAAAAACTATCTGGACAAGGAAAATCATTCAGCACTCCATCATTGCTTTCCCCTCAATGTAGACACAGAAAGTTCAAGATAGGTGTAAGGGAAAAGCTACAAAGGCATCAGAAACGCATCCCTAACAGAGGACCTGTAGCACTTCGTTCCCGCCCAGGGTTTTAAGAACATATTGACTCTACTACAAATGAGACTAAGCAAACTATTTACAGCTTGTTCATCCCAAGATTAACTCTGTTTCATTTCACTGACAAATTTAACTTTTTTTTTTTTTGGGGGGGGGGGATTTTTCGAGACAGGGTTTCTCCATAGCTTTTTGGTTCCTGTCCTGGAACTAGCTCTTGTAGACCAGGCTGGCCTCGAACTCACAGAGATCCGCCTACCTCTGTCTCCCGAGTGCTGGGATTAAAGACGTGCGCCAACACCGCCCGGCCAAATTTAACTTTTTAAAAAATATGTAGCCATGGGGGCTGGAGAGATGGCTCAGAGGTTAAAAGCACTGACTGCTATTCCGGAGGTCCTGAGTTCAATTCCCAGCAACCACATGGTGGCTCACAACCATCTGTGATGAGATCTTGTGCCCTCTTCTGGCCTGAGGGCATACATGGAGGCTGAACACTGTGTACATAATAAACAAATCTTTAAAAAAATGTAGCCAAATATTTTTATGACATTCATTTGATAATCTTTAATATATTTATAACAGCCATACTCTGAATTCATTTCAGTAATTATAAATATGAAATTATTTATTTTCATATTCTGATAAAGAAAATATATTCAAAACATTTAAGATGGTATTAGCTAGGTACTTTGTACTTTAAGCTGTGTTTTCACTACACTTCTTCAGACTCATTAGCTTGGCTTTTTGTTGTTGTTGAACCCTTAAAAAGTGGAAAGAACAAGTCAGGCACAGCGGTGACCATCTCTAATCAGGCTGTGGCAGGATGATCTAAAGTTTGACCAGCCTGGGCTATATAACTGTCTCCTTTGTCTGTGTATCTGTCTGTGTATCTGTCTCCTTTGGCAGCTATATGGCATCTCTTTGACTCTGCCTACTCTTTTATCTCTGTTCAGATATTCCACATGGCTTTGTTCTGCTAAGTTATTGGCCAAAACAGCTTTATTCATCAACCAATAGAGCAGCACATATACAGAAGGACATCCCACATCATCTCCCCCTTTCTGTCTCATTAAAAAGGAAAGTTTTAACTACGTAAACACATGATCAAGAATTATAGTTACAATATTTAGTTGTTAACATTTAGCAAATTAAGAAAGATATTCTATCATATATCATATATCTTTGTAAGTCTAAAGTTTTATATCTAATTTATCTTTTATCATAACTAAGGAAAACTAACTATCTGTCTTCAACTCTTCAAAGACTCCAGAAGGACATAATATTACCTAAGTAAACAGGAAGTGCATTGTAAGCAACTTCCAAAACTCTAGAATTGGTAGAGACATTTCATTGCCTGGACAGTCACCCAAAGTTCTTCTGTAATGTTGGTGCATTCATCTTCAGCCTGAGGGCCCATACTATCCAGCAGACTTTAATGTGAAACAGGAAATTAAAGATCTGTCTGCCTTATAATGGCAAAGTTTATCAGTTACTTTCTTCTGTGTCCTGGCATTTTTTTCTGTGATGAAGCAACACCTTCTTTAGGCAAGTTTAGCAGTGATTTTTTTTTTTTATGGGTTCTACATGTCCAGTTTATACAGCATACCATCAAGCAGTCCAGGCAAGAAACTGAATGGCTAACAAACTCCATAATGAGCCTCTCTGATGTCCATCATCCTCTTGAAAAAAAAAACTGGTGCTGCCAGGAGATGTGTCTCATTGTCATGAAAAAAATCTAAGTTCTTAAAACAATGTAAATGCCATATTCTATAAGTCTTTGAAGTATTGAAGATTATCTATATAACTGAAATATATCTCTGTATATCTAGAAAACCTATCTAACATGACTACAGGTTTGACTATTATAAATGACTACCTATTTATCTGAAATTTTTTTAAATTATACATTACATTTTTTAATGAGCTGTCTAAACATAAATCTTAATCAGGAGCAGAAATATATATACACAGTGTAACAAAATCAGCCTTAAATATGTATCAATAGACCAAGATCCATACCAACACAAAGTATCCAACTATATATCATATCCCCCTTATTTGTTTTTTTTTTTTTTAGAAATTTATTGTGACCATTAATCACTTATAATCAACCCCCTTCAAATGAAAACAAATATTTATAAACAATAATTTTGGGAAATGGGGTGTAGTTTTCTTCAAACTTCTTCCTGCTATTTGTTGGGCAAGGTATTTTTAGGGTTCACAGAGAACTTTCAGGAGGTCTTATTTTGTCAAACCACATTAGCCTGGAAAGAATTCATAGGTTCTCATCTTCTGAGGAAACAAAAACAGAACCTCTTTTCCAAAGCAACATATCCTTAGAAACAAATTTTGAAATTAAGATACCTTTATGTTGGTTTAGCTTAGCAGCCCCCAGAATCTGCAGTCAAAAAATTCAAAGAAAACATAATAATATGCATAATCCAGACTCTCTGTGTATTTTCCATCTTTACGTGGCTTATTTTTCTTTACTCCTTTAATCCATGGACTGTCTGTACTCTTCTTTTTTTTTTTAATTGTAATACTGTTTGGCCAATAGCTTAAGCATAATTCTGGCTTACTCTTATATCTTAAATTAACCCATTTCTATTAATCTGGGCACTACCTACCACAAGGTTGTGGCCTATTGGTAAAGTTTCAGACAGTTCCAGCAGTCTTCTTTGGCAGCAACATGCCTTCTCCCTGACTCTGCCTACTCTCTCTCTATATCTCTTTCAGCTGGCACAGAGGCCTGTCTGTACTCTTCTATATGACTTCTACTGTCTCTTTAAAGACTTTATTTTATTTTTAGTTTTTAAAAACTATTTCTTTCTCTTTATAACTGTCTACACTCTGTTTCCTCGCTCTTCAAGCCTATGTACATTTCTAAACACACTGCCTAGAAGTCTCCCCAAGCTCTCTCTGTTTTCATGTGGGTGCAGGACCCCACGTGGGCACACCACTCATTTGCTCTTTCAACCCTCTATTTCCATATTAGCAGAAAAAAACAGCGATAAATACCTGGCATCACCACAATCCTGCCTTTTGCCTGAAAAGGGGGAAGAAGTAAATTTTAGTATCTTTCTCTCAATTGAGATTAATAAGTATATTTTAAAAATTTAAGTTACTACTAATACTTAATTTTTCAATAGTTCTCTCTCTCTTAGGGAAAAGACAGTGGGAAAGAAAAATGTTCAGTATTATAAGTTTTTTCTAGAAAGATTGTTATTCTATTGCCTTAAAATGTATAATATTATAAACATAAAGAATAGGTATAAAAATAAACTCTATAATCATACCACCTTAAGAAAAATCTTACTGGAAAAATCACAGAAAGTTTGAGTTTCTGGTATGCAGAAGAATGAAAATAGGTGCATATAAAATTTTAGCAGAAAAGACAATTTAACATAATTGTAAGTTATGATGGTGAGAGTGGAAAGATGGGAATCCACTCAAATATTGCCTCATCAACTAAATATCAACAGAATAAAGCCATACATTCATTTAATTGAAAATATAAGAATTAATTTAATTTCTGACATTATCATGTGGCCTATCCATCCTCCTCACCTTTCTCAAGCCTCCTCACCTATTAAAATCATATGTAAGCCCCTTATTCTAACTATCTCTTTGAGTTATATTTCTTTGCTAACACACACACAAGAATATACAGTTATGTGCACACTTTTTTGTTGGCTTATTTGCCCCAGGAACTAAACGTAAGAGAGAAGAAAGGAATTAATCCCTTTGACATGGTGAACAAAGAATGTTCCTATTGGCATGGAACTTTAAACATTAAAAGAAGATGAAACAGATAAAGAATATTTGTATAATAAAATTTCAGATAGTGAGTACAATGGAGGTAAAATATAGTCAGGTAATAAAATAGAGACTGAGAGGAAGGGGGTGATTTCACAAAATTACTGTTAGAAAAATTAACTGGAGCAAAGATGTATCATGTTCTCAAATACATGAGAGCAAAGCATCCATAAAACATTCACTATCTAAGAAGTTGAAATGATCTTAGGAGGAGAAGTCACATTTATTTGTTTCTTACAAATGAAAGCTTTCTAAAATAAAGACAAATATTTTTAAGAGATAAAGATTATCATACTTTTTGGCCTTCTATAAAAGATTACTTAGAATAATATATTTACCTAACACTATCAGAAGTGGTTAAAAAAATACACAAAACATTGAGCATCGTAATAATCTGAAAAACAAAACCTTATGGTATAGTTTGAACATGAAATGACCTCCCACGGGCTTGGTTGCCACCTAAAAGACTTTGGGGAAATGACTGTATCATGAGGACTCTAACTTTACGAATGGAATAATTCTCTGATGGATTAAAAATCTGGATAGACACCCAGACTGCACCCCTCCCTGGGCTCCATACTCTGGCCTACGACTTTGGAAGAAGGCGTTGGCTTTATGGGAGGCCAGGCCCAGCAGAAAACTTCTGCTGCACTAGGTGCCATGTGTACCAGGTATCCCAGATGCCAAGCACTTTTCCCCAGAACTTCAGAGACTACACAGGCACTTGGAATAGAAAAGGCAATGTTGGCACCCAAAACTTCAGAAGTTTAGCAGACCACAAAAACACCAGCAGAGATACCCTACTGGAACTGAAGACTTGCTAGTCACTAGAACCCTTGGACACTTAGGCCAGAAGATCAGGGAAGAAACAAAAACCAAGTGTTGGGACTTTGGACCCCCAGACCCTGAATTTTCTATGACCCTTTGTCTGCCAGGGTAAACAGATTGCTTTCCTGTGCTAGTAGCTGCTCTGAGCAACCAATGCTAGCAGCTGCTGAGCACGTGACCCTAATGGCAGGAGAGTGGTTTCTGGTGGCTTACAGCTGAAGGATTCTGAGAGCTAGGGCGTGGACAATGGTCAGGGAAGGCACTATATAAGCTGCCCAGGAACACAATAAAGTTGGCATTCTTGGCGTTCTTGTTTCAAGAATGACCCGTGTCTCTGTCTATATGTGTGTATTTTAATTGCCAGGTGGTTCCCCCAACTCAGAAACCACCTTCCCTACTGTAGTACACGTAGTACAGGCACTACAGGACCATAGTACAGGTAGTAGTACGGACATTACACCAAGGAACAAAACAGCCATCCAATAAAGGCAAACACAGGCATTAACACCTAGAATCAACCCAAACCCAGATGCCCAAATGCCAGTGTAATAATGTACTTATTGCCTGTATATATTTTATATAGTTATTGTACTTATTCTATATAGCTTTTTTATATAACCTTCTTTATTTTAGACAAAAAAAGGAGGGGGGAATACAGTAATATTTTGTTTATACTATAACAAAGTTTGCCTCAAGATCAGAGGGTGGAGCTAGCCACTAGTTAACCATAGAGGGCTGAAGGTCTGTACAGACAGATAGGAAGTGATGTGGCTGGGTAGAGAGAGGAATATTAGGTGGGAGGAGACAAGAGATCGGTCCCCTTTCAGATGAGGAGTTAACAAGGTAAGAGTTGGCTGTGGCTTGCTCCTTTCTCTCTCTGACCTTTCAGCATTTGCACCAATATCTGGCTCCAGGTCTTTATTATTTGATGTGGGAGGTCATCTGTCTGTGTGTTGCTTTTCCTAGTAAATGAATAAAGAAACTGCCTTGGCCTATTGATAGCGCAGAACTTAGGAAAGCGGGGAGAAGGCACTGAATGCTAGGACAAAGAAGGGCGAAGTCAGAGAGAAGCCACAGATCCTCCGCCTGAGACAGACACCGGTTAGAATCTTTGCCAATAAGCCACTGTCATGTGGCGATATACAAATGAATAGAAATGGGCTAAATTAATATAAGAGTTAGCCAACAAGAAGCTAGAGCTAATGGGCCACGCAGTGTTTTAATTAATATAGTTTCTGTGTGGTTATTTTGGTTCTGGGTGGTTGGGACAAACAAACAGTCCCGGGCCCTCTTCCTCTTCCTCCAATTATCAATACTAATTAGAACTCATGCAGCACCTGGTTCACCAACTATGTTTTCTATTCCAAAACATTTGGGCTTCCCCATAGTCAACGACTAAACATAAAATGTTGTTTAGCAAGGTTTTCAAGGTTCTACATACTCTTTTCTTCACTTCAAATTCTGTTCATTCTTCAGTACCTTAAGTCATGCCTGCAGAAACAATGCCCCAACCCTGACAAGACCTACACGTTGAACAGAGAAACTCTTGCAAACTGTCCTCTGACCTCCACAGACACGCCATGGCAAGCATATGTGCATCACACACTAACAAATGTAAAAAGATTTCTTAGAGCAATCTCTGACTGCTCTACAAATCTAGTTTACTCACATCAGAAAATAATCCTAATATATTGATAGTTGGAAAGAATTAAAAAGAACATAAGTTTTAGGATATATATACAGAGATGACAACTGTAAATTTAACAGGGATTCCCCTGCATATACATAGATTGACAGTAAAAAGATGTGGTATAAAAATAAACAAGACTAATGACAGAGAAAGGTAAAACTTGCTGTCTAGGATTTGATCTAAAGTGCCCCGGTTATTTAAAATACCCATGCAATAAATAAATAAATAAAAATCATATAAATATGTCACTGGCTCTACTTTCTTCCATAATCACCAAGACAGTAATATTCATTTTTATAAACTAGCTGAATAGAACAGAATATTATGCTGATTATATATATATAGTAATAGGATGTTCAGAGTAACCACAACCCCTTGTACCTCATCTATGAGTTGCTTTATTAGAGGCAGTCCTTCGAGTGCTGAACTGTCACATCCGCTGGTCAAAACACGTTCAAATCCCAAAGTCAGGAGGGTCTGCAGAGCTGCCATTGGATCATGAACCATATCGAAGGCTAAAATAAGTAAAACTCATTTGAATTTTGAACTGAAATATCCTCTAATTCAATAGGTTCCAAAATGTAGTGTGTATATATACATATTATAATATATATTATGTATAATGGTACCTTAGATTTATATTGGCTTACAATAGGTAATTATGAAATATTCATAATTTTTATTTAAAATTAGTCAAGGTAAAGCATTTAAACCACAGAAACAAGAAAATGCTACAAATTAGAGTTTCTTCCTTCCTTTCTTTTTGAGACAGGTTCTCATCATGTAACTATAAGTAGCCTGGAACTCACTATGTAGACCAGGCTGGCCTTAAACTCATAGTGACCCATCCGTCTCTGCCACTAGGGTTCCGGGATTAAGGACGTGCACCACTAGGCCTGCTCCAAGAGTTCTTTTCTTCATTCCTAAGGGTTCTTTTTATTTTTTAAGAGTCAGAGTTTGCCAGTACAAAACTCTGCATGCCACCGGTAATAGGCACGGCCATTTTATCAGCAAGCATTTCAATAGGAGCATTTACTTGGACAAAGAGAAGACGTGACAAGTTTCAAATTTTCAGTAATCACAAGTGTTTCTCTTTAAAATAAAATTTAAAATTTTAATTTTAAAGTAACTATTAAGTTTCTACAGGTAACATTTAGCTATGACAATGCTGTAAATGTGGTCACATCTGGAAAAGTGTTCAAAGGCCGCAGACAAACTATACTGCAGAAACGGCACATTATACTCACCTGTCCCAGGAGAGACCTGGCCTCACTCTCACAGTCTGAGTGGTTTGCCTGATACACTCAAGGCTCATAGCTGATTGTTTTCAACAGACAACACGAGGTTTCGATTCTGTTCTACTAAGATATTTCCTTTCTCAAGTCAGGCATGGAGGCACAGGCTTGTAATTCTAGCACTCAGGAGACAAGAGAGGAGGATTCCAAGTTCAGGGGAAGGGAGGAAGGAGAGAGGAAAGGGATGGGGCTTCTCTCTTTAGAACAGTAAGAGAAGTGGCCTAGGAACCTTAAAAAAGAAAACCTACTTCTGCTTTGGTGCTCAGCACTAGTATGAGATACAGAATTCTAGTTTATGGGGGCTGGAGAGATGGCTCAGTGGTTGAGAGCATTGCCTGCTCTTCCAAAGGTCCTGAGTTCAATTCCCAGCAACCACATGGTGGCTCACAACCATCTGTGTTGAGATCTGGTGCCCTTTTCTGGCCTGCAAGCATATACACAGACAGAATATTGTATACATAATAAATAAATAAATATTTTTTTAAAAAAAAAAAAAAAAAAGAATTCTAGTTTATGGAGATGAGGCACTATGGGTCCTGGGGACACACTCCCTTTTCTACCCTTTACTGGACACAGGCAGCTGCTGTCATTCACAAGTTTTCCTGCTTTGGTGCCATCACTTTCCCAACAGTGGTTACACTGCCTTATTAAATAAACAAGCGGGCAAAAAGTGGAACCAAGAACACTATTAAAACACAATTTTCATTTCTATAAATCGTGAAAATATTTCTGTTAGACTTATTAGAGAAAGATTAAGAAATAGAAATTTGAAATCATCTTTTAAAAGTTTAAAATTTTTAAATATATTCTATGTGACTGCTTCATTTTTTAAAACTATTAAGAATGACAAAATTTAAACTACTTTTTCAGATAAATGTTCACTAATTTAAAAATATTTTTGGTGTGCCTGGCATCAAGATGCTGACAGACTAATATCTTTTATTGCCTTTTTTTTTAAAAAAAAAAAAAAAAGAAACACTGCTAGTACCAAATCAAGACAAGTTTCTGGTACTGTCATAATTTCAAAGGTAATAAATACTTTAATCTTAATTTCTATACATGGAGACAGATACTGGCAATTCACTCTAAGCCTATTTAAAAAGAAGAAAAGCATTTAACACTTTCTCAAGTATCACTGTTTTGACTAAAGATTTCTTTTCATCTGCAATGGCGGTGCCTTCTAAACACAAGTGACACTTGTCCCTCGATTTTGCCAAGGCCTCGTAAGACTTAGCCAAAGTACAGGGGAACTATAAGTATTAGCATCTATTCTTCCTAAAAAGGTCTGATTCTTGTTCACACATCTACTTTGTCTTCCCACAAGAAGTCTCTATTTGACAAAGCTGACCTCACTGCTAGCTCTAGGAATCGTTTTGCCTGGCACAAATAAGCCAGGAGGTACACTTCATTTCAATGGCCATGATTTACTCCTTTTAGGACTGTATATGATCTAAGGTGATCTAATAAATAATGAATCTCAGGATTGCTACTAGGTTGGACACAGACACTGCAGGCAATGTTTTCTCTCTCCTCACGTATATGCTACCACCACCTTCTTAACAAGGTTTCGTAACAGAGTTTTCAAGCTTTCTAGGCACCAAACACCATTTCCTCATCTATAACTAGCTAGTATCACTGTTAACACTACAGAAGGGTTGTGCCATCTGGTAAGATCTGAAAACTGACAGCATTTAACAAACCTATTAGAACAGAAATGACTCACCTCGGTGAAAAGTGACCGGCAGAGGACGGCAGAGAGCTATAAAGACAGTCATGCAACCAGAGGAGGCTCATTATTATTTGTAGAATTCTCCTTGGGTAAAACTTTTATATTCTCTTCTGCTAAGATACTGAACTAAAACAGTAACAAAACGGCAGTCTTATAAATTCAAAAGTCCTATCTTTCCTCTAAACTCTGACTTTCATATGAAGTATAACTATCTATACCTTAGGGTACCAAACAAAAATTACATGAACTAAAAAGACAACATTAAATCAATTACTTGGATACTCTAAGGATCGTCAAGAAAAACTCTGGCCTCATAATGTAGATATTTTGCATTTATCCTCTCCACTTTCTCTCCTCATTATTGACTAGAATAACTTCTCAAGTTTCGGTGTATTGGTTAATGCAATCAATGTAAATTTCTCTTAAACTCTGCAAGAGCAGAACCTGATCTACAGCAACAAAGGAGTACCAACAGGGCTTTGCCATGTATACCCTCTACCCCAAATAGTTAAACAACTTTTTTAAAAAAATAGGTTAGCTTAAGTATATGCAGGTACGTCTGAAAAATCAATTTTGTATTTTTTTTTCTGCATCAGGAGAATGTGTATATGTGCTAGAGGCTTTTACACCTCAGCTACAAATTCTTACCCACAAGAGACATGCACAGCTCTTTGTCAATGTGTCCATCTTCAGTCAATGCCCCAAATACCAAACCATCAGCACCATAAAGCTTGGCAAGACGAATGTCAGCCTTCATCACTTCAATTTCACGATCTGAATATAAAAAATCACCTCCCCGTGGTCGAATCATCACAAAAACTGGAATCTGGACATTTTGTTTTACTACTTGAAGGATACCTTTAAGAAAGAAGCAGACTAAAGTTCAACTATAAGCTAAGAGATCTGGAGAAGTTATTAAACTATTATTGGTCATATATAGTTATTCTTATGTATCATTTCCAAAGGAAAGGAGCAGAAGAATCAGAGGATAATACAAAGGGAAGGAGGCCTATGGGGAACGGAGGCAGCCTTGAGTGAATGTGTAAAGAACGGATGAAGTTCTTAGTGAATGTGTATTATTAACAAGGACCAAAGCTTAGACCCATGGCAATTGGCAAAGCCTTCCTCTGGTCCAAGTTGACCAATGAGTGTAAAAACTAGCAACTGCAGCTTCCTCCTCTAGATGATTGCACCCTAAGACTGCTCCCTACAGAGACACAAGGGGAGACCAGCTCACTCCTCTAGCTGCGCTGTACACAAGGAACACGCTGAGGCTCCAGGATGCTGCACTGTAGGTACAGAATAAGCACCACCAGAATAAGCACGATCCATCCATCCCAACTTCTCTGTATGTGTGTGTGTGTGCGTGCACAAAAGCCAAGAGATAGAGAGCAAGGCAGAAGGGCTGAAGATACTCAAAAGCACTTGTCAGCTGATATAATAAAAACAATTTACCTTCCAATCTCTTGAGGCTTGAGGACAAAAATATGTTTAACTAAAAATATGTTTAATTAAAACCTTTGATGATGTGATTTACAACTATAAGTATTTCTACTTGGTAGCATGGTCTAACATTAAATAATCAGTTGTTGCTATCTCTGTACGAGAAATTTGGTGGGAAAAAAAAGATTCTTACCCATGCTGGGCGTGGTTCCTCCCTCCAATAAGCCAGCACATAGTTCAATCCGACCAGCACCTTTTTTAAAAACATATTTATTTAAAGTTCCTATGATAAGACAACTGTTTATCTAAATATAAAAAGAACCTGAGAGCTTAACAAAGAAATCAAAATATAAAATTAGAGTAAAATTTTTTTTTTTTTTTTTTGGTTTTTCGAGATAGGGTTTCTCTGTGGCTTCGGAGTCTGTCCTGGAACTAGCTCTGTAGACCAGGCTGGTCTCGAACTCACAGAGATCCTAGAGTAAAAATATTTTAAATCTCAATTGTATTCTACAACCCTCATTGTGTTACTGATAGCCAAATAAAGAGTTAACTCAAGTTAAGCCAGTTCTCTTAAACTTTGTCTTAGAGTTGTCGCGCACAAGGAATAAAGACATTATTGGATAGAAAACAGTAGGATGTTAACGCTCAACCAATAAGAAGGAACATCAACTTTTTAAAACATTCCTTATTACTCTAAGTTTTAAAACAAAACAAAACAGTTAATTTGTTGTAGCTATTGAGATAATTTCAAGATGAGGTGAATACTGGTAGCAAAAAAAAAAAACTGTCAAACTATTGGGGTCATGTTACAAAAAAGGTCTCAGGGACAAGGCTCTCACTAACCAAAGACAGGATATTTTAAGCATTAACAAAATAACTATGATAAATTAAAACACATGTCTAAATCTAGTTTTATAATGTTAAAACAACTCATTGGAGGGTAGCAAACAGATGTGTTATTCTGGAAATCAGAGAATAAAGAAGGCAGTCTTTCTCCCTTCCTCTCATACTAACAAAATTTCAACACAACCAAATGTTAAAAAAGTTGTTCTTTCTAGTTGTATACTAGACACTAAATAAATAAATAAATATTAAGCAGGGCGTGATGGTACACACCTGTAATTCTAGCACTGGGAATGCTAAGGCAGAAAGATTGTCATGAGTTCAAGGTCAGCCTCAACTACAAGTAGGTAGTGGTATCCTATGTCCCTCCAAAAACAAAAGAACAAACAAAATTCAACCAAATATATATATTTATGAATATACACACATATTAGATTGACAAATGACTGGAAAACTTATAAAAGATAGACCAGTTTGGTAACACCTGAATTCACTGAACAATCTCAACATCATACCCATGCACACACACAAAGAAAAACACAAGATGCCCTCCTAATGTAATACAGCAGGATACTGCCTATAAAGCAATTTTTAAAAATTATTTTTATTTCTAAATTTTTATTTTAATTTTGATGTTTTGAAACAGGGTCTCTATAGCCCTGGCAATTCTAGAATTTGCTGTGTAGAGCAGACTTGCCTCAAATTCATAGAGACCTGCTTGTCTTCATCTCCTGAGCGCTGGGGTTAGAGACATGCACCACCTTGCCCAGCTTATTTACTTTTATATGTATGAGTATTCTGCCTGTACGTCTGTGTACCATGTGTATGTATGCCTGCTGCACAGAGGCCAGAAGAGGACATCGGATTCCCTGGAACTGAACCACCACGAGGGTGTAGGAACTGAACCCACAGCCTCTGAAAAAGCACCCAGTGTGTGTAACCAATGAGCCATCTCTCCAGCTCTAAGAAACAATTTTATTAAAGCTCAATTCTGAATTGGACTTTAAACTCAACAGGGAATAGAGAGATTAGAAAAAAATATCAAATGGCACCACTTACATAGTCAGCAAAATTGGGACTGTGGTGCTCTGAGTGATGAACATCATAGTGCATCTAACAAATAACTACGGAAAAAGAGAAAAAGAAACCCTTTTTAAAAAAAACGAGGAAATCATAAAGTATGGTAGTACATGTCTGCGATCCTAGCACTTGAAAAGCTTAGGCAAGATGATCACAGTTTGAGGTCACCCTGGGTTACACAAAGACTCTCTCAAAACAGCCAAGAATAAGAGATGTAGCTTTAGTAATACTGTACCCAGCATGTACAAAGCCCTGGGTTCAATTCCCCCAGGACAAGGGGGATTACCTGTTACAGCAATGATCAACCCTTCATTCCTTCTTATTGCCATGAAGGGATTTTACATTTTCAAAGGTTTCCAGAAATCAGCAAGGACTGACAGTAATCAAATGTGTCCAGAAAAACTGAAAACACGTAAATTGCTCCCTACCAAAAACGTCTGCTGAACACTACTGACCATGACTTAAAAATGGTTGAAGTTTGTAATGATTATCTTTCATTGTCAATTTGATTAGATTTGGAGTCATCTTTGAGGGAGTTTCCAGAGCAGCTTGACTGAGGAGGAAAGACCCACCCTGAACATGGGTGGCACTAGTTCATGGCCGGCGTCCCAAAACCAAAACAGAAAGAGGAAGCCAAATGAGCATCAGTGTCCACTTGTCTGCTTCCTGGCTGCAGACACAATGGGATCAGCTGCCCCAAGCTCTGCGCCATGCCTTCAGAGCCACGATGGACTGAATCCCTCAAACTGTGAGCCAACATAAACTCTTCCTTCTTCAAGTTTCTTTTGCCCGGTAATCTGTCACAGCAAATTTTAACTACCAAAAAGTTGTTAAAATTATTTTTCTGATAATCTCATCTTGAGATGATGGAAATGCTTATGGTTCTCACAAAAACAAAATTAGAACACAAAACAAAACAGCACCTATGGTAAAAAGATAAGACCTCTAAAAGCATCTAGAATTTTCATTCTTCAGTACTGGGGATTGATTACACGTGCTACTGTGCTTTGCCACTGAACTACTTGCTCAGTCCCCTGTATTTTAAACTATTTCAAATTCTTAAATTTGTGTCAAGTTTGATAAAAAAAATCATGTTAATAGATGCTTGCCATAAAATGTGACCTGCTTGGGGGAAAGAGGGTATTAGACAGTAATCTTCCAATAAATTTTTGGTTTTGCATTACTTTCTAAAGCCAAGGTTTCCCCATCTAGCTCAAGCTGGTCTCCAACTTTCAACCCTCATGACCTCAAGCTTCTCTGTGCTGGGATCACAAGCACGTGCTGCCACGCCGCGCTCTTCAGTAGGTTTTCTAGTTAGCTGTTTCTGAAAGGACCGCTACTGTCCAAGGGATGACAAGGGCTTTATCTTTTTTTAATGATGTTTCACTCTATAGCCAGAACTGACTTCACAGTGATCCCAGGAGTCTCAGCCTCCCAAGTGCCCAGCTTGGCCAGGGGATTTTGGAGGTCAGTTCATAGGACTCATTCTCAGACCCTAAAAAGGTTGTCAACCACTATTCATTATCTAGTCTCCCTTACCTCCTCTTTCTGCATTCATGGCCGACTCCACCGAGTCTACACACACTTCCATAAGAAATCCATTTGGTGCTCCTAAAGGGTACAAACAACAGAAATTCTTGAAGGAACTAGCGATTCATGCCAATCTTCCACTAACACTTCCGTTTTTGCTGCCTGAATGTGCAACAGAGAAACAAACACACGTACTCAGACCCATCCACGTGGTAAAATGCCACACTCATTCAAATTGGTGAGTCCAGACTATGAAACAGATATACAGACATACGCAAAAGAAGCCAAAGTGAAACAATTTTTAGTACATAGTAAATGTGAAATTAACCTTCCTAAACCACAGATCTCATCATTGTGTCCCAGCTCAGACTCTCGGAACATTTCTCAATGCTAACAGTTAAAAAGACTAAGTATTTAAGGGCTGGAGAGATGGCTCAGTGGTTAAGAGCACTGACTGCTCTTCCAGAGGTCGTGAGTTCAATTCCCAGCAACCACATGGTAGCTCACAACCATCTGTAATGAGATGTGGCGCCCTCTTCTGGCTTGTGGGCATGCATGGAGGGAGAATGTTGTATACATAATAAAATTAAAAAAAAAAAAAAGACTAAGTATTTAAAATGACTTCGAATCCTGGTGCCACCATTTTATTCACTGTGTGGCCCTAGACAAGTTACTTTTCTATAAAGTAGAGGTTTCAATTCCTGACCTCAGAGTAATCAACACTGAGATGATTTACATAAATGGTACATCCACTAAACATTATCTCATATATATATATGAGATATATATGAGATATATATATATGAGATATATATATGATATATATATATATATGAGAGATATATATATATATATTTGGAGACAGGATTTTTCTGTGAAATAGTTGTAGCTGTCCTGAAACTAGCTCTTATAGACAGGCTGACCTTGAACTCAGAGAGATCCACCTGCTTCTTCATTAACATTAATAAACTATATCTTATTTCTTCTTTATGACTTCAGTGTTCCTCAGTCTCCATCTTTGCCAATGAATATACTATCCCAATGATAAAATCCTTCTAGTTTCATCTTCAAATGCTAAACTTCTCCAAGGATCATACCAAGTCACATTTCCATGGTTTTTTTCTCCCAAAGTAGAAAGATCTAGCTCCTTCTGTATCTAATAACTTATATATTTCTCATTCAGACCCTAGTTTCACCCCTTAGGAGATAAATATCTGATCTCTATGGTTGACAGGAAGTTCCTTAGTAAGGTCATTACTTAAGAGTTTTGTCTCTCTCAGCAAGCACAGGAGCTACCATGCTAACAAGTCACCCAAATATACCCTAAAACCTGAATTACAAATTTACATGTTAATATGAAAAAGAATGGTGTAAGCAGCTTTGAGTTTTTCCTGCAAGTTAGTTTTTTTTTTTTTTTTTTTTTTGGTTTTTCGAGACAGGGTTTCTCTGTGGTTTTGGAGCCTCTCCTGGAACTAGCTCTTGTAGACCAGGCTGGTCTCGAACTCACAGAGATCCGCCTGCCTCTGCCTCCCGAGTGCTGGGATTAAAGGCGTGCGCCACCACCGCCTGGCTCTCTGCAAGTTAGTTTTAATTAAAGATTTGAATGCTGGAGCCTAGGAAATGGCTCAGTGGGTACAGCCATGTACTGTGCAAGCCTGACAACCCAAGTTCATCCCAATATATTTAAAATTGGAAGAGCTACCGCCTCTGAGCTCCACATTCACTATGCCACATGTACCCACCCCACACAATAACGATCACTACACTCATACTTCATGTATTGCTCTCTTTAAAAATAGTCACCATATTGTGGTACTGGTTACTAATGGGCAGTGAATTTGTAATGGTTTTTACTTTTCTATATTGCTTGACTTTTTCGACCTAACATTGCTTTAACGATGAAAAATTACTTTGAAAAACACAAATCTGTCACCTCCTAAAATGAAGTTACAATTGTCGTTTATTTAATAAAAGACTATCAGTCCCAAGATTGGGACTCAAATGTTAGCCTATGGCCTTAAATAACAACGCACTAACTCCACAAATCTGATAGCCACATCAACAGTCACACCCCTGGGCCTGACAACGCTGAAGGATTTAGCTTCACAGGAAAGGACGGGAATGGCTACAAAGACTACAAAAGGAGCCCGGGCAACAACGTGTTTCGTAGGGATCAGAAAAGACGTTTGGGGCAGTAGCGCTCAAAGTAAGATACTCCAGGTGGCTTTGGGGACTCTGAGTCTGAGGCCTTACTGGCCTTTTTCTACCTTAGCCTCTCACCAATGGAAACGTGTCGGATGGAAGTGTAGGTATGAGAAATCAGCTATCTTCCATTATTAAAGAGATCTGCAAAATCTTCCACATTAAAGAGATTTGCAAAACACACAGCATTGCCACTTATACCATTTTATTTAGGAATATTTATCCTTCGTAAAAGTTATACGTGTTAATATATAATAGGTATTTTACGGCTATTTTTTAACTTATCAGTCAATACATACTTTTTAGGACAGTAAGTCCTAAGAAAAACAAACGCGAGAACCGCTGGTTTGGAGAACCAAGAGTTCACTGAGTGGGAAGAGATTTGCTGCGATAGCCAGACCTGGAGGGCTCCCGCAGGAAGCAACGAGTCCCGCGTAACCAACCCAAAGGCTGGGCAAACAGACGCCACTAGTCACCGCACGTTTATTATCCACTGCAGCGACAGGGAGGTGGCAGGCGACGGTGCTCTCTTGTGACCCAAGGGGTTTCGGGGGATTGGGGGAAACCTGCGGGAAAGCGTGACCCGCAGGGACCCCTAAGAAGTGTGGGGACTTGCGGGAAGCGTCACTGCCTGGGACCCACGAGGAGCTTAGGAACCCACCCGGGGTCGACCCGCACACCACCCCCTGCCTCGTCGCCTTCCGCACCCGCCTTTCCCGACGGCATCCACGCCGGTTTCCGCTCGCAGGAAGCCCCTTTCTTCATGCTTCCCGCCTTCCTCCCTCGCTCGCCTTCGGTTTCCACGGAGTCCCCGCGGCTGCGCGAGCCACGGAGGAGGCGCGTTCCCGACGCCCGCGCCCCGTAGAGTCGTAGGCGCAAGCGCAGTAGCCAGCCTGGGGGGTAGGGGGCGAGGCGCACGCTCGCGGTGTCTGACCCGGAAGTGTTGCTCCTTTCCGGGGAGGAGAAGGGGAGCGCACGTCGCTGGGCCGTTCCGGCGGAGGCGGTGTACCGTCAGTATGCAACGGTTGCTCCTTCCGTCCCTGAAGGCCTTCACGGGCAGCCGCAGTGTCGGGCTCCTAGTCCCTAGGGCGGCATCCAGAGCACAGGTACCCACTGCAGCTGGCTCCCATCACGGAAGCCCGGCTGGGGTGAAAAGGGCTAGAATAAAGTTAACGAACCGCCCCGCCGGTTGTTATCTCCCTGTCATTTCACGACACGTTCATTTCCTCGTGTCCAGACAGCCCCCTGAATGCAGATCCAGAAATACTGCCCCGTTTGTGTAGTACTGGCCAATTTATTTAGCTTTTATGTTTCAATGCTTCAATCTGTAGAATGGGGTAACTACTACCTCACAAGGTGTTGGTGAGGATTAATTTTTTTTTAGTATACATCAAACCTTCAGCACATGATAAAAGCTCAGGTTTTTTTTTGCACATTTGGTGTTTTGCTAAAAGTGTCACGAACTACTGTATAACTCCATTCTACAGAGGAGGGAATCAGGGCTTATTTTAAGTTGCTTGTCTAAGTTACCCAGTTATTTAGAAGTAGGAAACTGAGCATATATCTTACTGGTAGGCTTAGAACCAAAGAGACATGTAATCTCGTATCTGATAATTATTAGTAAAAGGTGAAAGATTTGGGGGATGGGAAGAGAAAGCAGAGAATTCTAGTCCTTATAATTGTGTTATGATCTAGGAAGAGAAAAAGAACCGCTCACATGGCCCTGCCCTGGAGAAGTTAGTTTATTCATTGTTGGCTCACTTGTTAAACATGTATTGGGTCTTGCTATGTAAGGGGCCAGTGCTATAAACAAAGGCAACCGGAGAGAAAGAGAGAGAACAAGATGGACCAGAACCTGCCATGCAGAGCTCCCAGCTTAGACCCATGGACAGATCACTTGAAGACACATGGCAGTGTGTTAAGACTTGTGGTTAGGGAGGTCCTGCTGTGAGGGTAGCCTGTTATGAGGCTCTGGGAGGTTTGGGGAGTAACAACAAGCCCAGATCAACAGTGGGCAGTATCAGTCAGGCGAGTGTGTGGGAGGGGATAGCACATTTAGAGGCTGAGAGGAGAAAGAAACCCATTGGGAAAAGGGCCCTGGTGGTCCAGTTGAGAGACAGCAGTCAACCTTAGTGGGAGCTCTGGAAATGCCGCCTTTGTGAGGCACTTTTCTCCAGGCAAATTGAGGCCGAGTGTGGGAAGCAGTCTTTCCCTGATTCTTTGGTTATAATTTTCTTTCTTGTTCCTCAGTGTGGTTGCAGCTTCGGCAACAGGCATCCTCTGAGGCCAGGGCAATATGGCACCATCACTGAAGTGGCTTTGCAATCCAGAAAAGGTGCAGTGCCCCTTCCCTCGAAGGTAGCCGAGCAGGCAGTGGGCCGATGGCTCCTGGTCTGCAGCGGAACGGTCGCTGGAGCCGTTATTCTCGGAGGAGTAACTCGGTGAGTCATTTGCTCTGGGCGAACCAGGTTGTCCGTGGGAAAGGGGCTCTGGGCATTGGTAGGAGCCTGTCAGAAGGACAGGGTTCCGTCTTCACTGGTAGCTGGGCATTGTTTCTGTATGGTTAACTTCGCCAGTGTTCAGATTGAGCTCAACTTTTCCCCCTGCAATTTGTTTGCTTAAATTAAACACATATGTTCATATACCACAATTGCTTCAAATACTCTTAGGTTATCTTTATGTCTGTAAACAAACTTTATGGATTTAGGCTTTCCCTTCTCCCACATCTTTGAAGTTTTGTTGCTTTTGGACAAGACCAAGTCATTTGTCCCGTGGTTACCCACAGTCTGACTAACTGTGATGTCTAACATAGTCTTTGTCTGCGTCTGTCCTGGAAATGAGTAGTTTCTTACTAGATTCTGATTGGTAATGAGGGGTGAGATACTGCATAGGTGACTGGAACATTCATTCTAGAACCTATCGGGGACATCAACTCTCTTTATTATTGCCTATATCCATTATTTCATTAGAATTCCAAAACAGTAATATTTTATCAACTATAAAGAGAAACTTTCCCTCATCGGCAGTGTCATTAGCCCAGGAACAGTCTTCATATGAAAGGCAAGATTTGATTCATTCTCTTCATTTACTAATTTTCAATAATAAATCTGTTCCCAAGGTCCTCCAAAGGCTACAAATAAAGGATTTGGGGTTTAAAGTTTTGCTATGAGTTCATACATTTAAAGACATTTGATGTATCTCAGTCCACTGTGAGGACTGTGTTGATAGCTTACTTAAATTCTTCCATCTTACTTGGTGGGAACCTCTTGACAATGGTCCCAGCGTCTTTTGACAAGGCCCTTTGATGGCATCTTTGCTTTGTGGTACAGTAAGGTTTTCCAGGCCTATTTTGTACATTTCTCGCCTTGACCTTTAGATTAGGAACCCCAGTTCCTTTTTGGTGAAAGTACTTTTTAGTGTGTGTGTGTGTGCGTGTGCGTGTGCGTGTGGATCTGCCTACATGTGGAAGTCAGATGACTTCATGCTTCGTTCCTAGGTGCTGCCCACCTTTTCATTGTTGTTGTTTGTTTGTTTGTTTGAGACCAGGCCTGTCACTGACCTTGAATTTGTCTCTGCCTGTCCAGAACTGGGATTACAACTCTATTGTACTATTGTACCTGTTTTTTTGTTTATTTGTTTGTTTGTCTGTTTGTTTAGGCATAGGTTTTGGGGCTTGTGTTCAGACAGGCACTTTATTGGATGAACTACCCCTCCAGCCCCTACTTTTTAATTTTAATGAAGTGTGTGTGTTTATCTTCATATTCGTTACACTCTGTTTCAAAATATGGTGTTATTAAACCTCAGCTGTTATGGCACATTGCAACAAATTTAATATTCTTTTGTACCTATACTTCTGTAGTAAGTCTCTTTTCCTGATGTGGAGAATGTAGTTTTAGCTAGTGTTATATATAACTCAATAGTTGAATGAATACTTAGTGTGCACAAGGCCCTGGGTTCAGTCCTTAGCACCAAAATAATGAGAATGTTGTTTATGTGTTTATTACACATTTCTTTAATGTAAACATTGTTTTTGCCTGTATAGAAATGCTAGTGAAAGAATTGGGTGGGACCAAGTCATGGTGGCACATGCCTGTAATATCAACACTTGGGAGGTGAAGGAGGCTAGCCTATTCTATCTCATAGACCCTGTTTCAGGAAAGAAAAAAAAAAACAGCAAACAATAAATGGGGTGGGGTTGAATAAAAGACTTGGGAGAATAAACTAAAAGTGTAAAGAAAAAAAAAGCTGGCGTGCAGGGCCTGGTTTGTACAAGAACCTGGATTCCATATCCAGCAATGCAAACAGAAAGGAAAAGGAGCTCATGCCCACGGGTTAAGTTCACATCTACTTGTTGCCGTATTCTATTTGTGAGTAATCTAGAATCATACACTCACATTTTCTACCCTAAGGCTGACGGAGTCCGGCCTCTCAATGGTAGACTGGCATTTAATAAAGGAGATGAAGCCACCCACAAGCCAAGAAGAATGGGAAGCAGAATTCCAGAAATACCAGCAATTTCCAGAATTTAAAATGTAAGTATTAGAAAAGAGTCAGGTAAATGTCTTTGTGTGTGATGAAGCCATGTATGTGTAGCAGGTCTGGAGACGTGGTTTCTCACTGAACCTGGAGCTAAGCTCACTGCTGGCAAGTTTCAGTGCTTTTCCTCTGTCCCCTACAGCACTAGAGTTACAGGAGCATACGGCCACAGCCAGCTTTTTATATGGGTGCTGGGAATTTGAACTCAACTCCTTATGCTTGTGCCGTGAGCATTCTTACTCGCTGAGTCATCTCCAAAGTCCCTCACGTATCCTGTCTTAGGGTTGTACTGCTGTGGTGACAGTATGATCACAGGCAGCGTGGGGAGGACAGGGGTTATTTCACAGTTCATCATCACAGCAGTGAGGGCAGGAACCTGGAGGCAGGAGCAGATGCAGGGGCCCCGGAGGATGTTTACCACTCTAAAGGCAACCGAACCTGGGAGAGGGGAGCCTAAAAATGAGGTGGACCAAAGTCTCATGCAATAACCAACTTTATTCAGAGCATCAGGCAGTTTATACTTCTAGGGTTAAGAAGAATCACATGAGTAAGGTATTCAATCAAAGGACAAACCACACGGGGCAGAAACACGTTTTTCCACAGAGGCACTCCTATCTGCTACACCTGGGAGGAGCGTGGAAACATATTCTAAGAACAATTCTGTGTTTTGAAGAAACTGAGGTTATAAGACTCTTGTCTTTTTTTCTTGAAGTTTTTTTTTCACAAGCACTCAGAATTCTCGCACAACTCCATTCTTGGATTGTGTTACGACAGGGGGGTGCTGCTTACTGACCTGTTTGTTCCCCATGGCTTGTTTAGCCTGCCTGTTTGCTTGCTTTCTTTCTCTTTCTTTCTTTCTTTCTTTCTTTTCATTTAAATTAGTTTATTTCAAAGACCTCACTACTGAACATGCATATTCTCTCTCTCTCTCTCTCTCTCTCTGGACTGTTGGGTTCTAAGTATTTAAATATTTTAACAACTTCATTCAGTATAATTGGTATGTAATAGATCATACATATTTAACACGTACAGTTGATGTCTGTGCCTGCCCCTGCCCACCCCCAGACACAACTGACCTGTGCTCTTTCATCATACAGATTTTGGAATTTTATATAAATAATTAAAATCATGTCAGGCATAAGCTCTGTTGTCTGACATTTTTTCACCCAACAACATGGTTTCGAGAATGCTGTCCACGGGAGAATGTACCGGTGTGCAGTCCTTTCCATTGTGGGACTGGTCCCATCAGGAGGATGTGCCATACACTGTCCACCACGTGCTGGTTTCTAGTTTTTCCTTGTCGTTTTCAGCCTGCTTTCTTATAGAACTCAGACCCATCAGCCCAGGAATGGCACCACCCTCA